TCTCGTTTGTGTGTGTGTGTGTGTGTGCATTGTGCGCGTCAGCAGCTGTTATCCGACCAATCAGCGACGACTGGAATGAACTTGGAATTGCCAGCGCGCGCGCACACACACATACACATAGACACATAGACAGACTCACTCATAAACGCACACACATAATGGTACTCGTATCTGACGGATACATTTGCAGCGAGCATACGAGCAACGGCAGCTGCGGCTGCTGCCTCTGTCTGCAGCTCCCTACGGCCGATGGAGTTGGCTGTTGATTGTGCGCCGACGTCGTCGTCGTCGTCGTTTGTGGAGTTTTTGCCAAATTTATGCGGGTGTATAATGGTCCGTCCGTGCGTCCAATGGGTCCGTCCGCTCAATATGCTCGTCTCTTTGTGCGTCTCTCAGCGGCTTGGTGTGTGGCTGTTGTTGGTTTTTGTAGGTGGAGCCAGCCATAATATCATTTCATTGTTGACAAAACTTTGGCAGCGTCGTTTTTGTCTTCAGCCGAAGTCTCATATGCTCATTTTATTTTCTGTTGTTTTCTATCTGGCAGATACGTAAATTTTGCCCTGCTGCACACAGCGCGCACAGGTTGCCACAGTGAAAGGTCGTCATTGTTGTCGTCGCCGTTGTCCATGTCGTTGTCGTTGTCGTTGCCGTTGTCATTGCGTGTGCTCAAGCCGAACAAACTAGCGACGGTTGCTGGCTATTCGTTAGATAAAGATACAATTGTGTTAAGGCCCACGGAAGTCTATTGACGCCATTGCGGCGGCATTCGATGCGATTATTATGGCCAAGTGCTGCAATTGTGAAGTGACAACAGTTTGACAAGTGCGCATCTCACAGCTCAACTACATATTTATTGGATATATCGTTCATCAGACCACATCGACGACGCAAATACACTGACACACACACACACGCACACACACTCGCACACACAGGCACACACATACTCTGGATTAAGCGCATTTGTTTGGAATATGGTTATTTTGTAAGTTCTGTTTGGCCTATCGTTGGTAGCCTCTCCTCTGCGATTTCAAGTCCCCTGACACCAGACAAAGGCATTCAAAGAATTATTAATATACAAACATTCACGCATTTACGATAAAAAGCTTCAATCGAAACGATTCCAAAATACCCGAGCATGCCATATATTTCGAAAATCAAAACGATCGACCGCAAATATACCCTTTTTTTTCATCTCAAATCGAGACTTTTGCCAGGCTCTAGTTACTATCTCCGAATTGATTAAGTGAAATTCATGATATGTGAGTTTTACTTAAAATAAAATGTACTTATTTTAGTCTTGGTTCTATGAATTAAACACACTACTATCAAACAACAATGAGGGGTATTATATAGAAATTTATTTAAATCCCTTTATGTATTTGGACCATGATAAAGTATGAAGTATTCAGCAGTGCTTATTGGATAAGGAAACAAAATATTTTAATTTATTGAATGTGTTGGTAAATTAATTGACTTATTACCAATAAGCCAGGCCAAAGATTATATTAAACCTCAAGAGGGGCATAGTTACTTTGGTCGAAAAGAATACTTTGAGTAACATTTTTGTATGGATCAAAAACAAAGATTCAAAATTCAATAGCTCAAAATCAATTACCAAATAACAAAACAACTGAATATAACAAATTAATCATTTATTAATTATTTTTTTTTAGTTTAGTTGCACGCCTTCGAAATAAAAATGCATTTTTTAAGCTCAAAAATAACTTTATATTTAGAAATAAACACGTAGTTGTGGTTGAATAATTGTGAGTGCGGGTGCAAATGAATTCAAAGAAGAAAACATTTATTTAAGATAACAAAAGTAATTTTAAAATAATATATTTTCAATAAGTATGGACTGTTATATACATAGCTATATCAGCAGTTATTTTCCAATAAATAAATTCGCTACCGCAAACATAATCTCAAGCTACGCAATTATTTTCGAAGTAAGCAAAGAAAAAAACTTTGGCACAATCTCGTTATTTACAACCTCCAAGGGCAATCCTCCAAATAAATTATTGTTGATTTATACAAAATATGAATTTTGTTTGCTATAAAAATTATATATTACATAAATTTAAGCCCAACTATTCAATCATCAATTTTGGAATCTAAAGTAATTGCATCTTTAAAATCTGTCGTATGCGATATTTTGATTTTTGATTTTTGCTATTATTTGCGATGTTGTTTATAATTTACTGCAAAAGGTCAAAAGCGCCCATTTGACGTAGGCTAATTTCTTCTTGAAATTACAATACAACCAAATCTTATCTTAATTACTAAAAAATAATATTTAAGCACTTTTTGCGGTATCGAGAATCGAGAAATATGTTTTTCCCATTAAAAACGCAATTACATGCAAGAAAAACTAGAGAGAAAAATATCATGAGAGTGCCGAGAGTTGAATACCCTTACGAACAGATCTAATTGTCATCATAGTTGTCCGATTTACATAATTATGTTAGGTCTTCCTGATATCTATCCGATTTATTATAGTAAACTAACACAATCAAATCAGGAAAGAGTTGATCGAAATTTAGTTTGAGCCAATTACGAAACGCAATGATAAGACGTAGCTGAAGCAATAAATCGGTATGCGCAAAAAACATACAAGAGGCAAGAATCCAATAAAAAGAAGAGAAAAAAAAAACGACATAGGCACAAAAAATATTTAAATTATTTCAAGCGCTTTATTATCATGCTGAGCAGCCTAGCCCTGGAGCAGAGACTAATAGAGAGAAGGGGGAGGAGGAGGAGGAGGAGGAGGGGGGAGAGACTTGCTTAATAACACTCGAAAAAGCCGCGGGGAACACGGACCACACACATCATGGGCCTAGGGCCCAACGCGGGGGCTGACTGGGCCAGTGAAAGGGTCCCCAAATGCTCGAGCCGAGCTCAAGCCGCGATTTGTATATAGACATATTTTGTAGGTGACAAAGTTATTATGGGCAGATCCAAACAGAGAGACAGAGAGAACGAATAGAACATGTCACAGCCACCAAAACAACGAAGTGACGCTATCAATATCAGATAAGCGCTGCGAAGTGTCAAGCAGTCAATTTACGTGCCCAAAACAAAGCGACAACCGACAAACGAGACCCGAAACACGAGGCACAACAAGCGTGGAACAGGTTGAACGCGGACCACCAGGCGCTCGATCAGGTATCAGCTTATTAGAGCCCAGTTGGGCAAAGGGCCAAGCGGCCAAGCGGCCTGCTGTCTTCCTGGTACACATAAAAAAAAAAACGTATGTTTCATGTTCCCACTCAGAGGCTGGGGCCACAGGGCGCCCTCTAATGAGCAGCAATGCAGCGCGTTGCCTCGACAAATTTATTGCTAATTGTAGAGCGAGCTCCACTAAACGTTTGCCGCATAAATCTAAACGTGGGGCAACCACGAGAGAGACGAGGCGAGACGAGACGAGACGAGAGTGTAGACGGAGACGAGTTGGAGTCTCTCCGTTGATCTGTTGATGAGTCACACAGCGCCGGCGCTTTAAGTGCCAATAATTTTGTAAGCTGGCGCTCGAATAACCTCGCGGGGCAGCTTGCATTACTTGGTGGGTTAACTGGGCTAATCCTAACGGTGCCTGCTGTCTTCCCGGCCAGCTTGTTGCCACGTCAAGCCGACGCATCGCCGCGAAGAGTTATGCGTTCCATGACACGCATAAACCCAAGCATTTGATTTGATTGTCTTGAAGCCCACGCCACACGCAGACGATATCAATAAACTGCGCTCTGAGCATTCCAGACGAATCGTTTAGAAGTGAATTAAGATTGGAGGTTCCATAAAGACCTTTTTAGAGATGCCACAGCAATTAAATAGATGCGATTTAAATAATCGTTGTAAGCAAGTGCATTTAGTGTAGTTCAAGCACTTTTAAGCTTAGGCGCTCGAATTTGAGGAGAGTACAGATAAAAGCTAAGGTTACCCACGGGTATTTAATTGATTTGATTGGCTGATTGCTCTTATTCAGCTTTCAGTACTTAAGTAAATTGATGAGCTGAATGTCAATATTAGGAAAGATGATTATATGGATTTTAAAAAAATATCATTAATAATAAACATAAAAATTGTATCCATAAAAGAGAGTCCAGGCAAGGATCTTATCAGACAAAATTATAACAAATAAAGATGTTAATCTTAATCTTAATACTTTTAACAAAGTCTTATTCAGACTGTCTACAAATTATGCAATAGTCAGATTGCACTGATTACAAAAGTTAGCTCAAAGATTGGAAAATAATAACACATATCCGGGCAAAGAAGCTTTCAGAAGGGAGTTGAAGCAAATTTAAGAGAATTCAGAGCAGTCGAAGGGCAGAGAGACCTTTCTTTTTATCCATTTAGTTAGGAGCAGCAACGGAACAGAATCAAACGTTTATATAAAATTTAAAGTTAACAAACATTTTTTTTGATGTGATAGATACTAATTTATAAGGGAAAGAAATTTAAAGAATATATACAAATAATTTCTCACTCAAGCCAAGTCTTTTTTAACGTGTCAAACATCGCCTTTCCCACGACGCACGATATCTAAAGACTTTGTTATAATATCTTTTCAAATAATATGCATTGCTGTTGACACTTTCCTTTAGGGACCCCCAAAAAGAAATTGTCCTGAAAAGCTGGACTTAAAAAGCCTGATGAAAATTAATTATGTATAAGAGATCAGGCAGTCGGAGTGGGCCACATATTCTTGGAACTTAGTCTCAGCTAGATGTTGCTTGCAAAAATTTTCCGGCTAAAGATTAGACTAAACTGTCCTAGGGAAACCTATTAGCAAAAAGGGTGTGGGGACCACAGTCAAGTAATCTTACGTGCTTCTCGGACTAACTTGGAAGATATTTTATCCCATCTGCAAACTTAAGGATTAGCTTAAGACAAGTCGAATTCCTTACAGAAATGGCTACACTTTCAAGGCGCACTACCAACAACTCTCAATTCAACCGGAGCAGCACCCACAGCTACAGCAGCACCACCCGAGCCAGCAGAGTCAAGAGATTCACTTGCAGCCATCGTCCAGCGGGATGACGACGCACAAGGGCAAGCGGGATTGGGATATCAACGATGCGATCGTGCCGCAGGTGGCCGACATGGAGTTCGATGAGTTCAGCGAGTGGAGCGACGGGCATGTACGTCTGGTCTACTCGGTGCACAACGAGGAGGCCAAGAAGCACATCTCTGGCTGGGCGATGCGCAACACCAACAACCACAACGTGAACATACTGAAGAAGAGCTGCCTGGGCGTGCTGGTCTGCTCGCACCACTGCACGCTGCCCAACGGCTCCAAGATCAATCTGCGCCCGGCCATATGCGACAAGGCGCGACGCAAGCAGGAGGGCAAGGCCTGTCCCAACAAGAGCTGTCGCGGCGGCCGACTGGAGATCAAGCCCTGCCGCGGACACTGTGGCTACCCAGTGACACATTTCTGGCGGCACTCGGGCAATGCCATCTTCTTTCAGGCCAAGGGCGTGCACGATCATCTGCGGCCCGATCCGAAGAACTCCAGCGTCTCGAAGCGTGCCTTCGGCCGGGTCTCCCTGACGGGCAGCAAGGCAGGCACCACATCCGCGGCCAGGGCAGCCGGTGCGCCCAAGAAGTCGGTCATAGCGGGCTTGGTCAAGCAGGTGAAGGTGAGTTGCGCCATCAGCTTTTCGATTGCGAGTAATTCATGTGCGACTCCCTCCGTCAGCAGCAACAGAATCTCATGGGAAAGGTGCTCAAGCGCACAACCGCCAGCAATCCGCTGGGCCACTCGGCCCTGGAGATATATCAGTTCAATGGTAAGGATCGGAGCACAACTTCTGTAAAGGCAATTCTAATCATATGACCTTTACACACAGCCTGTGGCAAGTGCACCACGTACAGCCACTGCACGTGCAGCTATCTGGAGGACAGCACGCGCGCCCATCAGCTCAGTCAGTCCTCCAACTATATGAGCAGCTCCTGGCCGCTGGCCAACGCTGATGCAGCGCCCTGTGAGTCGTCGGGGAATGTATTTACCGTAAACCACCAGCACATTACCTACAACTATCCCATTTACCATGGCACGCCCGCTGCCGCAACTGCCGCGCCGAGCAAGTCGCCCAGCTTGCCCTACACTTGCATCTCGGAGCTGGCCGCCTATCAGCCGGCGCTCAACATTCAGTCCAATGCCAGCTACAGCAATGCCATCGCCGGCAGCTGCCAGCAGCTGGCGTACGAGTCCAGTCCGCAGCTGGCGACGCCAGAGCCGGAGTTTATCAACTACTCACAAATAAAGCATCTGGGCAGCGGCACGGAGCTGGGCTGCAAGAATGAAACGACGCCCACCATCAAGTACAATGCGACCGTGGAGACGCAGCCTGTGCCGGGCTATGCGGCCAGCGTGGAGGACAACTACGACTATTACTACAATCGCGAATCCCACAAATCCGACTACGAGCTGCAGCAGCAGTTCGGCAACGTCTCCGGCCACGCACACTACTACGAGAGCGCCAATAGTTACAGTGGTGTTAGTTATTTCGACACGGGCACCACAGCGCCGGGCAACAGCAACGGCCACGGCCACAGCCATGGCAACGGCATCAGCAGCGCCAGCGCCGGCGGTAGCGGCAGCGTAATGAACCCAAGCAATGCGAGTCTCGATCCTGGCAGCTACGGCAGCTACTACGATCACTATGCCAACTACGAGCAACAGATGGCGGCGGCGAACGGCTTTGCCGCCACTGGCAGCGCTGCGTCGAGCAGCGTAGGCATTGCGCCAACTGCTGTGGCGCCACCTACACCAACGCTGACCTACCATCACCATCACCATCATCATTTACACCACGCGTCGCAACACGCCCCGCAATCAACACACGCGGCCCATTGATAGTACTTACTCATAGTTCTTAGACCCAGGTTATGTTTAGTTTTGAAATCTTAATTTCAATGTGTAGCATTGCGTAGTGTTCTTATTGTTTTTTTGGCAAAATATATTATTAAAATGTTGATTTGTAATCTTGTGTGTGGTCACTCCTACATTAAATGCTAGCGTACCACTCACGGAGAAAATTCTCATTCACCAAAGAGCTTGGAGTTGGATTACACAAATCCTGCACAAAAATAAAGCTCAGAGTTTAATTTAGTATAGCAACACAACAAAGTAAATTGATTCACTAAGTATTTAATTTCTATGAATTTCCTATTGAGCTAAATTAAACCTGGGCAAAGACCTAGCGCCTAATGCACACGCGCGCGCCATCTAGCAGAAATCAAGCGTACACATCGCACATACAGCGCCATCTAGTATTGATTAAGCGTTGTGTAGCAGTGTTGTATTTCGCAAGTACACTCGTATTTTGAAAAATTATGTTATATAATTAGTTGAACTTTACATTTAAAATGAAAAACATATTATATTTAAAAAGAAATTTAAAAAAATATTTAACTTTGAACTGGATTAGGTGAACCGCACACCACGCTGCTGAGCTTACCACCCACACGCCAGTTCAACGGCATTGCCAGACCAAACCAAACCCGTTCACTCTCCCGCTCTTTATCATGTTGAATTCGTTTGGTCATATATGACAGCGGGTCCAAGCGTTGAACATTGGCATTTGGTATATAAAAATCCCACGAGTTGGTTGCGTGTGCTCTGCGGCTGTTCGTTAATTAAGAAAACTAATTTTTACCGGTTGTATTTCCACTTAATCCCCCCAACAAAAAATTAAACAAAATGGTGTACGCTGTTAAAGACGTGGTGAGTATTCTGCAAGCGGATTAACATAGTTTCGGACGATTCCTGTGTCGTATCAGGGTTAAGTAATAAGCGAATTAACCACCCCGGACCGCCAGACAACGCCAAACTAAAATCATTTTTTCCCACTCATTTCGTTAGTTGCCCCAATTACCATACGCTTTCGAAATATATACACACACAAAAAATATATCGAAAGCCAGTATATAACAATGATATCATCTCTTTTGGCTCTTCGGTACGAACTGGGCACCAAAGCAAACGCGACGCGATAGAAAGTGCCAGTTTTTTATGTGCCTTTTGGATACGTTCCGTAAGAATCGAAAACAACTCGATTACAATAATATAATCGCATGCATATATACATTCCTATAAGTATAGGAACCATACCACATGGGCCATTTCGTTAGACAAACCCCATTATCATCAAAATGAGTTCGCAGTTTATTTATCAGTATGCAAAGTCTTGGGCTGTTCAGTTTGGCACAGGGTGGGTTAACCTCCAAGTTACCCTCTAATGATATTACACATCGTTTTGGCGGGCCACTCAGCTTCCAAACCGGTTTGAGTCGTGACGCATTGTCTCTACGACAACTAAACAACACATTCTTTCTTATTAAAAATTAACAATTTATAGATATTGCGTCAGTTTATGTATTTATGAAAAATTTGTACTTAGTCGCAAAGAGCAATAGACGCTTTAAGACTTTTGACGTCATGGGTTAGGCACTTAAAAGAACATAAAATTAGCGTACGATCACTTTTCTTTTAATTTTGCCGATTACCAATATACGTGAAATCATAAATTTATTAAAAATACGTTTGTATATACATATATACCCATAGGAATAAAATAGAAAAAAAAAACAATCTATATTTGCCCTACGAATTAAATAACAACTTAAACTCTTAACCAAATTTATAAAAACGCTGTCTGCAAAAATATGTGCACTATAAAACGAAATACTTCCATCATAGAAAACAAAAAAAATGTCAATTATAGATAAGAAACTTCCTCACCAAAAAAAAAAACACATATATAAAGAAAACGATAAAGCTCGAAATATACCCTTGTGCGATAGTTCGTTCCTATGTCAGCTATAATATATATGATAGTACTCTGATCCGAATGGTTCCGACATAAGTTTGAGAGTTCACATAGAAGCACAGACACAGATTATGATCGAGAATATATGTATATAATTTATTGGGTTGCCTCATTTTATAAGCTGCACATTTACAAGACATCTTTAAAGCAAAATTTCACTATTCTACTTAAATATGCAATTTGAAATATAATTGACTAATTTTTAGTCATGTGTAAAGTTAATCACTGATTACTAAAAATATGAATGATTAATTTTAACTGCCGTGAGTAAAATCTTGTTTCGTATTAATTAGATGATTAAATAATATGTGGTCATAAAGTGAATCATTCGTATGTCTTAAATCCCGATTTTAGATATTGTGTAGGCAGCTATAAAATGAGACAAGCCAAGCAAAATTCTGGTCACAAACAGAAACAGAAACAAAAACAAATACCAAAACTAGTTAAATATGTATATAAATGGGTAAATAGCCAACATGGCCTTGGCATAGGGGCAACCGGTTCCAAGTATTTTGCATCGTAGTCACATTTTGTGAATATAATTACAATTGATTCGTGAACAGATCCCTATCGCAGAGTCCAATTCAAATATATTACCAGCTAAGGGTAGTCATTTCTTGCGCTAACTACGGCTAGTTAGAAGTTCAACTCTGGACTAACTTTAACACAATGAATCATCGGGCTTTAGTCGCGCCTCATGTACATGGCCAACAGAATGTCGTGCTGGAAATGAGCGCAATTAATAATAAAAGGTCATTTCAGAAAACGTGACAGGCGCTGACCAGAAACGGGAGCTCGTACTGGGCCAAGTCAAAGCAAATGTTTGTGTAAAAGTACAGTACACGCCCACGGGCAAATAAATGATTTTGATATTGATTTGAATTGAGGGCAAAGCTCATGTTTGAAAAAAGAAAAGAATTTTAAATATTTTCGATAGGGAAACAATTTGAAATGATATTGGATGTTGAATGTCTTAATTCATTATAGCAACTGAATTCTGAAAGAACTCGCAAATATGAAATTTATAAGAAAATAATTCTGTTGAAATTTAATACAGCCAATGCCAATGGTATGCAAAATATTTTGGAAATTCATTTAACTCAAAAGGAAACTAGCACAGACACATTGGAAAACCAAAGCATGTCATGAGTTAAGTTCAGGTCAAGTCAAGTCCAATTCAAAGGAGACACGTTGTCGATGGTTAAGCAATTAAGCAAATGGCCCAGTCGAGCGGAGAGGGGCAGTCAGTCGGCAAATAAGTAAGAGTCGAAATACAAATATTAAACTGCTAGAGATATGAATGGTGCTGAAGTGTATTAAGTATATAGTGCAGCCGACATACATACAGATTTGCACATAATCGTATATAGTTGCTTTATATAATGCTTACACATGTTGGCCCGCACTGATAAGCGGAACGTGTTACAGTAGCTGCCCAAAAACAAATCGATAGACTGCAAACTCGGGCCCTGCTCATGATAAGCACCATACAAATTCGAATTATAAATATAAAACACAATCGGGAAAATACAATGTCATAATATAGCATTAAATTAAATGATGAAATTATGAAAAAAAAAAAAACACGGACCTTGGGCTACACCTCGACGGGGCTGTATTTGCCTAGCAAAATTGGGTCATCAAACGAAAGGAAACATTGTGACTAATTGTGGAACATGATTTTGTATTTTTTAGAACGACTTCAAGACGCAGCTGACGAATGCTGGCGACAAGCTGGTCGTTGTGGACTTCTTTGCCACCTGGTGTGGACCCTGCAAGATGATTGCGCCCAAGCTGGAGGAACTCTCGCAGCAGTATGCCGAAAAGATTGTCGTGATCAAGGTAAAAAGATTTCCCAAATAGGGTGAAAATGTAAATCTAATCATTGTTTGGCCACAACCAGGTCGATGTGGACGAGTGCGAAGACATCGCAATGGAGTACAACATTTCCAGCATGCCCACGTTCCTGTTCATCAAGAACTCCGTCAAGGTGGAAGAGTTCGCCGGCGCCAATGCCAACCGACTGGCCGAGACCATTCAGAAGCTCATTTAAGCAAACGCAATAACAGTTAAACCCAAATGCCTCTTCACAATGGATTGTCCCCGCGACCAGAAAAGACAATTCGTTTAGGTGTATCATTGAGTTTTCTTCATACCATTTAGTTAATTATGTATTCCATAAGTGCAACGTTGCCTGTGACATGTTCAACAACAACAAAAAAAAAAAAGAAAAGAAACAAAAATAATAGGAAACATTTTATCGAATCAATCATTGCACTTGATTTACGCGGATTCATTGCATTATTAGTATCCGAACTTATTTGGCGTGTTCCACACTGCAGCGCAGCATAAACAATTGAGATACAAAAGTGGCTTTACATGTAACTAAAGTAAATTGTTTGCTTAATTTACTAACTAGTTAAGACGGGTTCTTTTTGTAACGCAATTTAATTGTAAACGTTTCACGAAAACAGCAAACAGAAGTAAATCAAATAAATAAATGTAAATCAAAGTATCAATCTTGTTTTTTCGTACTTGTGAAACTTTAAGTATTCCAGGGTATTCACTCAAATGTGAATGCCAAGGAAGTTCAAAATATTAAAAATAAAATATTCAAGTCATTTATTCACTCACCTTTCGGTTACTAGGTGCAAAGGTAAAATATTGCAGATTAGATTAGATATGCGCCAGTCTGTAAAGTTTCCAATTGCCAACCAATTGGTCTCTATAAATTATAAAACAAAACAAGTATTTTCAGAGATTAGAATTCAAAGTCGAGCATAAAAAGCGTTTAATATTATAATTAGTAATTATAATGAAATATAGAATTGAGTGTTTTGGTGATTTTAAGACTGATATCCTTAGGATGATCTGTAGTTAAAATTTTTCCTTTGAGATATCTCAACTGAACTCTTGCAATTACAAGCTTCTCTATGATCTATTCCGATATTTGCAAGCAAGGGTATTAAAAACTTTAGCACCACAAGGATAATTATTCTTGTCAAGCTCTTTCCCAATTTTTAGTCTTCTTGTTTATTTGATAAAAAAAAATGCACTAGGCTTAGGATATACAAGATACCTTAAAAGAAAAAAAAAAAAAAGTTTGGTTAAGTCATCTTGGAAAACAAAATAGACTCCAGGGATTCCACGCGGCGGGACCTATTCCTATTTTGTGTCAGCAACTCGAAAAAAAACGTATATCTTTCGCAGTTTAAAATCATTCGAATAGTTGAAAATTCTTGTCAAACATTTACAGTTTTAGAGTCGCCATACTCACAGTTACAAAGGTTTCTTATCAAACTAGATGTAGTTGGTTTTGATTGTGGATATTTGTTCCAAATTTTATTACAGATGCAAAAACTTGCGAGGTCTCTCAAGTGAAAATAATTTTTCTATTTTAAAAAACCCGCCAATTTATTTAAATAAAATAAAAATTTGTCATGGCAAGCGAAGACATCAACCACAAAATGAGGCATTGCAAAGCAACTCTGTGCCAAAACTCTGAGCGAATGAGAGAGAGAGAGAGAGAGAGCGTGTTCAATCGACTGTGCTCTCTTAGACAAAAGTGGGCTGTCTGCCACAGCCGTCAGTGCTGCTGTCAAACTCATCGAGACAACAACAAAAGCGAATGGAATAACAGTCGAAATAAATAAAAGCACATTAAGCAACACTTTTTTCATTTGTGTTTTGCTTAGCAGCTAAAAAGCAGGCGGCGTTCTCTTATTCGAGCGTGTTTTGTGTGCGAGTGCAAGTGTGCGTTTGTATGATGTTTATAGACTTTTGTGAGGCGACAACTGCCATATAATAATAATAATAATCGTAATAATAATGCCCAAGGCCGAATAATAATAATAATAATAATAAAAAAAAAGAATAATTTGTATTGTTGAAAATTATCAAATTAAATGCGAGGCGATGTCCAAATTGTGCCGTTATAAATATATATATACTATATAGCATGAAGAGATAGGAGAAGAGAAGGAGAAGTCACGTCCACACACAAATGGCAAACACAGCCCGGCGCTGTCGTCATCTCTGCCGTCTGCGTCCCAATCATCAGCTGCCGCAGTTGCAGCTACATTTGCAGTTGCAGTTGCCACTGATACCACCCCTTGGGAGCTGCGACAGCTGTGCCCCGCTGTAGGCCAGTCGCACAATGCCAAGTGCCTACTACCAACCACTCGAGCCGCAAGCATCCGACGACAACGACGAACGCTGGGCAATTGAAGACGACGACGAGCAGTCGTGCGGCCAGGGCGGGCGGAGCAGCCAGTACCAGCACCAACACACACGCTGCTATCCACAGCTTCTTGCCACGGGCGACCAGCTGCCGTCCATGGGCATGGCGCCCCGATTGAGAAGTGCATGGTCGTGCAGACGGAGCTACTCTATTATGCTGCTGCTCATTGTGATCTGCGTTTGCTTCGTAGGCTACTTCTTTGTCAGTCCGCAATCGTCGGGCCAGGGCAACGACGGAGGAGCGGAGGATGCCAATGGTATCTATGAGCCGCACAACGGCAAAGGTAAGCGGCGGCACATAAAACTAATCTTAGGGATGGAGAAGATTCCACAAGACCATCCATTCAAAGCAACCATAAGCAAGCGCAATCATGGACGCATACGTAAGCCTATTCTCCATTCTCCACAGTCCCCATAATTCATTCATGCATACATGCTCTACACCCCATATTCAATTCCAAGTAATTTCTTAATTTTTTTGTATTATTTTCCTGATACAAGTGAATGACCAGTTAATCAGACCTTAACCGTCTGAGCCGGCGCGGTCTGTCCTTATCATTTTACATACATACACACATGTAAATGTACATATATCATTCGAAGTTCCCCTCTCGCCCGCCAGCCAGGCAATGCATTGTTGCAACAGTTGTAAACTATTTAAAAGTGAATCTAAGCCAAGACTTTCACTTTTCGAGTGCGCTACACAATACTCATTTTGGGGACTTTTGATTTTCTAGTGAAGTTCGTGATTATTAATCCATCTCTAAACTAAAAAAAGTGATTAGTATTAATGATTATTTCCATGTATATTGTATGCCCTTTTTAATAACCCAGTTAATTTAGTGGTAGCTTTGGTGGAGAGGTGCTTCATAGGTCACTATAGCTCATCCCCACCAGATACCTTTCAAAATAAATAAATTACGATATGCTAGGTATTTTTTTACGATGAATGTTGAATACGCTTGCAGATTTGTTTTTAACATGGTGCTTTGAAATCTAAACCAATATTTAGAAATGCCATGCTATGTGCAAGATTTAATTAACAAAAGAAGAAGAAGCTTAACTCAAATACGGTCAATCGATTTTAGATATTGTTACTACATAAAGTAGTCTTATTTTAATCAAAATTGCCAACACTTAATAACTAAAATAAAGACAATACTTATGTCTAATGAAAGATTTAAGCTGTATATACTCTGTAATGTATATGTAAGCTGTATAAACAGTATATAAACAGTATATATTCAGTATATATACAGTATATATATATAGGCTCCTTTGACAGCCATATAATCTTGTTGTATAATCTGTTTAAAAAAAAATAGAACTATAACTTTGTCACCTCGCCTCTGAAAGAATGTCTCTCTCAAGGCGTTATACATTTAATTACATAGTCAAAATACCTGCTTTTTGAAAGAGTAAACAAGTAAACTAAGCAACTGACTAACGAGCAAACACTCGACACCCAAAAGCCTCTCACTTCTACTCGCACTCTCGCTCTCTCGCGCCCTCTCTTTCTTTCTATATATCCATCACTATCGTTCAATCTCACTCTCACTTAGGTTTACACCGTTTTCCCTGTTCCCTCTCCGGACAGCCGTTGGCTAGGCTCCAAAGTGTTACGGCAATCACTCCGTGTAAGCTGACGGGTGGGCCTGCGTTTTGCCTTAGTTAGTTTATTAACTGTTGTTGTCGTTGTGGTTGTTACTATTTATTATTTAGCCGTAATTGGCCTAATTTGCTAAGCATTGTCTCTTTCAGCAATATATTTTATCGATACCCGCCACCCGCCACCCGCTCCGCAAATGGTATCTTCGTGCGTTTTAATAGCCATCACATTTTCAGTCACGGTGCATGCCAAGGCCACATTTTCCGGCTCTGGTTTTAATTTCTTATACGTTATTTATTAGATAATTTCGCCAACAGTTGGGGCCTTTTATTGCGGCTGCCTCTGCCTGGGTCACATTTCGATCGATATTCTCCATTGTTCTAGCGGTGCATCAGCACGCGATTCGCATCGGACCCGGATTCGCATCCGGAAGGCGTCTTTGATGTGTGTTTAGAATTTCAAATGGGCTATTAAAACTATTAATGCTTCTGCTTCTGCTTCTGCAAACAGATCCATTCCATATATCATTAAACGCAATATTTTCTTGAAAGTTAATAAATTTGTTGGTACATTCATGCGTACTGTCATCCTCTTGATCATTGCGAAATTCCAAAAGCTTTTTGAGCGAGAAACCAATTTAGCGTAAATATTTATTAGCCGCAAAGCCAGAGAGGGTGACATCATTTATAAGATTGTTATGGAATTTCTGGAAATCTACAAGTTAAATTTCTTGTGAAATGATCAGTCAAATCTTGCCGTAAATAAATACTCCTTATAATATATTATTTCTTCTGTTAGCAAACAAAGTAATTCATAAAATGACTTTTGGTTAACTTAGCTACAGATATGTAACTTATTGTATCTCTGACTCTGCAATGTTTCGTATACATGACTATAACTATACGAAGATTAGAATTTACAGAATTCTCCAAAAAACGGTTAACGATCCATTTCTTAGTAGATCATTAGCTTGACAATTTAAATGGTCAAAACATTATTAACTTATTAAAGCACACGGTAAATAAGATCGTTGCATATTTAATTCAAGTCTCAGCAATTGCTCAATCAATCCAAATTGGAAACTGTCAAGTCTCGCAGATCTCGAACGACTCGGACATATTTTTAAATGGCTTAATTGCACTTTTTCCACACTCGGCAGCTCTATATATATTTAAACTATATATATGGTAATTTTTTAAACGTACAGTTAATTGCCTTTTAAAAGCTATAGCCCCCTACTCACGACCCGATTCCGTACACCTTGCCAATTGGTGCTGCCTTTTCGTTTCGCTTGCGGTGATTTTCTAACCAAATATTTCGACTCGCTTGCTCTTAGCACTTAACAAATATATTGGAATTGGCAATTCTCAGCTTTAAGCCCATTTCAATTGGTCGATTTCCAAAATTTGAATTCCGCGTGTCGCCTCTTTTTGCCATTGCTTTTGTTTTTACACGCTGGCAGTTGATGCACTTTGGACAAGTCACGGACTCAAATTTGCTACATAAATATTTACGATTTTTAAATTATACCCATGCATTCATCCGGTCGCTCGGGCTGACCCAAAAGTTGGCATTAAAATTGCACGCGATTAGGCAAATTGTTGGGAACAGCACGTGCATAGAGAAATAAATTTTTATACTTATAAATACAATAGAGTAGTTGATGTATGGACTCTCCGACTAATTTAATAAGTAACCCAGAACAACTGACTAATACTTTGCATTTGTCAATCAATAACAATGAATGAATGCAGAAGTCTCATATAATATGGGATAACATATAACTAACTCGTTCTGTAATTCAATACAATCACAAATTCTGTTCCGAAACATTTCATTAGGAAGAATGTGGTCTGGCCCATTTCCTAATATGCTAATAATAACTAATAACTAATAATAAATGCAATATCGTATTATACAAATTAGAAAAAGTAAACATTTCCATTGATATATATTATGAAATTTTTCAATACGTTTCTATTAAGATTTTACAGTGTGTGTTATTTTTCTCAATACCGGGTTTTATACCATTATATCAATAACCATTATTCAAACTGGGCTTGTTCTTACACGATTCAAAAAGGTTTGTACAGTTACCAATTAATAAACTTAACTGAAATACAAATTCGGGCGCATAATTGAAAATTGCCATATTGTTAGAATTGTAATGATATGCAGGTTATTGTGGACAAAATTCAAATGTCCGTAAATGTACGAACTCTCGAGTAATGTAACATAATCAGTTTTAGGTCCCGGCAAAGCCGTAAAGAAGCATTTTCATTTCTTATATGTCACAGCAGATATCACATGATTCATTCAAAAGCACTGATCGTTGAATACGAAACCATGAATCACGTTCAGACATGGGTAGAATTCAATTTCGATTCTCAAGAGGCCATCGAATTGATAAAAACAAAACCATTTTATTAAAAGCAAATGCTTTGGGAAAAAACTCCCATAGCTCAAATCATTCTAATTGCAAAATGTCTCCCCCTGCAGACGTGTGCCATAACAAATAATAAAAATACTATACATGGGTTTTTTGTAATACTATCGCGACCCTGATAAAATGTGTGTCTTATCAGGTGTTTATGGCAGGCATACAAAACAACTTGTGAATGAGAACTAGGTGCCCAGTAAATTAGATATATATACATATATATGTATCTAAGGGGGCTCACATTGTGATTTTATGAAATTTCTAATATATGCAAATACTTGATTGTCGGTATCTTATATATTTACGCAAGTATAAGGGCAAACACTTTACTCAAGAGCAGAGGCCTATGATGTTTGCAACCTATACAATGGGGACCGGGGGCCCCTTGAGGCGGCGTTGCTTCCTCTGTTGGGCACGGCCGAGCCGTCTCATGGGACAAGTCAATATTTAATTAGTGATTAAATTGAGCCCTGTTACAGCAGCAGCAGGACGATGTGTTGTTGTCCCCTTGTAATTTATGTGCTCAATATTGATAGATGGCCCACCAACCACAACAATTATACCTATTACCGTTAATGCACACGTGAAAGTTATCGGTGCTCACATATCGTGTTTTGGGCTGTTATAATGGGCCGCCTGCCTTTAGCTCGCGTGTTTTGGGCTAAATAGATCTATCAAGGGAATTTTTTTAATGCGTTTTTTTATCGTTATGGAAGATTGAAATACACATTAACGCACATTTGCATAAAATATAGGAAAGGCAGATGAATTAACGAATACAGAGGTATATCTCATATTGTCTATGCGACATTCCATTAAGTAATTGAATTTCATTTTGATAAAACCGCTTTCGGTTCAGATGTGATTCGAATTTGTCAAAAATCTTTACATATGAAATTCCTATTTAACCATGCCAGCCAATGGAATCTAACAAATAAATTAAAATTTTGGATACTAGATTTTTTCCAGTTATTCACAATGCCTTCAAAAAAGTTAATAAAAAATGCAATTAAAACAAAAGCATTTTAGATTCAAGGGGTTTATGAGTCAAATTAGCTTTTCTAAATTATAGACATTTCTAATTCCAAGGGACATTTTCGAATTCCATAGCTTACTAAATACCTGTTAAATGAGTTTCTATATATTCCATCTCATACCAAAATGTGCTAAGCTGTTGATACTGTAATCTATTTGCAACCTTATCAACGGAACTAATACTATTGTTCATTGGTGACGCAATTTATAAATATATCACTAAATACATACTATTATCGAATAAAGCTTTTAGTCCCAGTCATCTATGCGACCATTTATTAAATTCGTTTCTAATAAATCGCAGAACAAATAAAAATTCGAATACCCTTTCCGAGACTGCATCAATGGGGGATACACTGAACTTATTCTCATAATTGATTGGATATGCCCCATGTGTGGCAGAAATCCAATATTTATCAATTTTGAGTAAACGACAAGGTGTTCTAAAAACATAATGACGGCTGTTCTGTGTATCATTTACATATTTTATATCAGATAATTTTGTAGTTCTGATCAAGAATAGGTGCTAATAAGATAGATGTATATAAAAGGTCGATAGATGTATATAAGGTATATAAAATAGGTAGTTTTCTTAATTTTACTTTTTAAATAATTTTAATGGGACAGGGTATGCACAAGTTATTTGAATAGCTGGCAGAATTCCGTACAGCTTATTAGATCTCTACGTTTTTCGCATCACCGTTGAGAGAGATTCTGTTCAATTACATCCTTCCCCGCGCAATATGTTCTGGCCGTTTAAATTTGAAGATAATCACATTACAGATAAGCTTTTACAACAAAAGCATTCGCTTAGTTGTAACCTTAAGATGTAGAGACTTGCCTACAAAAGTTGACACATCTTTACACGAGCGATATTTATTATAAATATACGTATATATTTATAAATATGTATATATTTTAGCATATATAAAAAAGTCTGGGCTGACCCAACTGTACGGGCAGGTAATTAGACAAATTATAAATAGTCTGGCGGAATTGTTATCATAGCGAACTTGAAGTGTTATTTGTAGCCACATGAAAAGCACACAATATTTGAGTGTTAAAAGAGATTCACACAATTGCGAATCGCGAGCAGTTTTTTTTCTTGGCCAGTGGCTTCGGCAGAGGGGACCAAAAATAACACATTCGTGCTCATTTTTGCATTGCCCAACTTTAGGCGGATCACTAAATAATTTCCTCACCCTCTCTCTCTCTCTCTGTCTCTTTCTACCTTTTGCAGATGGTACAAACGGGCACGCTCTGGATGAACCACTGCACATATGCAGCGAAAGCCCTGAGGACCGTCGCGTCTATATACAAGATAAGCCCCGTAGTGCCTACGCACAGCTGCCTGTGATTTATTTCGTAACGCCCACATATCCCAGACGCGAGCAAATACCCGAACTGAAGCGTCTGGCATACACGCTGCTCCATGTGCCTCGACTCTACTGGCTGGTGGCCAATGATCAAGAGAGATGTGATACGTTTCTGGACACGCTGTTAAGTGGATTCGGTAGGTTTATTTACAATAAATATCAATTTATACCAGGAACAAAATGTGCCATACAGCAATGTCTACTATTTCAAGTGGGAAGATTACAAATAGAGTTTTCCACTCTAGACAAAAAAACGTATGCACTATAAATAAAATCTTTAACAAATAGTTTTTAGATAATAGTTTTCAGTAAGTACTCATCAATTGGCTCATATGAAATTATTTTTCCTGCATTTTTAAATGAGAGGAGGGGTTTAGTTATAAGCTCTGTTTCTAACTGAAACTCTGTACTAATGTAAACATATGTTTTTCAGGTATTCCTTATGCACATATGGCCAGTCCCATGCCTAGTGAGTTTCGTAAATCGAAGCCGGCGCCGCGGGGCGTGGCCAATCGACGTGCAGCGCTGCAATGGCTGCATCAACAAAACATAACAAATGGTGTACTGTATTTTGGTGACGACGACAATACTTATGATCTGAGACTTTTCTCGGAAATAAGGCAGACCCAGCGAGTCTCCATGTTTCCTGTTGGACTGATAGCGGAATATGCGGTCAGTGTGCCGGTAGTGCGGGATGTAAGTATATAAAAGAAAAATAATTATTCAAGAACTGATCCCTAACTTTTTTTGGGTTTCTCAGGGTAAAGTAGTGGCCTTTCTGGACTCTTGGGTGGCGGGTCGGCGCTGGCCTGTTGATATGGCTGGATTCGCTGTGAGCTTGGCCTACATGTCGCAGTATCCCAATGTAAATATGCCCTACAAGCCGGGCTACGAGGAGGATTTGTTTTTGCGCAGCATTGGACTACGAATTGATCAAATTGAGCCCAAAGGCGCGAATTGCACCGAAATTCTTGTCTGGCATACACAGACCAAAAACAAAAAGTCTGCCGTGGTGCGTTTGGAGAGCGAGTTCTTAGATGGGCGCTCCAACCTGGGTGCACTCTTTCGATCGCTTAAACTGATGGGTGTGGCAAGCGCCTCGGATTCGGAAGGTACATTTGAAGTGTTTTGCATTTCTAAGGTGAAATAAAATCACGTTTCACTCTGCTCTTTTCCCAACAGGTCCCGTTGCGACGATTAGCAAGAATGGCAAGAGTAAATCCCACTCTTTCTTCCTGAGCTGAGTCTCAGTTCGAGTGTAAGCCAACTGTTAAACCGTCGTACTATAGAAGTCTAAGAATACTCCTAACAAAGCACAATTTGTTGGATTTCCTTGAATGGAAACTCTAGAGTCTATGATTATCTCAAAAGGCACAGCTTATAAAAACCTGGTTTAAATCTCTTTTGCATATTAAATTGTGATTAATTACAATATGCCTATCCTCAGTTCTTATATTTATATTAATGTTAAATACAAATTGTAGTAACATTGTTAATTAGTTTTAATTATTCTTGTATGTTTGTATTGTGATAAGCCCGCTTATGTTTATCAAAAATTCCTTATAGACTACGTCATTTAATCATATAAGAAGAAAAGACAATTTGCAAGCCCAATTTAGTTAGATTTATGATCATGTGGCAGCTGGGTTGTATATGTAGCTTTAAAAGCTTTAATATCAATTAATTAATATATTAATTAACAAATAGGTATTTTGCAATGCGAATTTCGGATTTTTTTTATTTCAAAGAAGCTTATAATTGGAAACTGTTTTTGATGGGTACAAAAATAAATGTCACTGTTATTATTAAGTATTTAAGGACTTTGCTGCTCATTATTGAAAACTTGTTTGAAAAGCTACTATCATATCATGGATTTGGTTTTCATTCTAAGGGAAATTAAGTTCCATTTTCTTATTGATTTATAAATAATAAACGTAAATAATCAGTATACACAATAACGAATACTAATAGTATACAAAAATATATATATACATATGGGTATATGTATATTGCAAAATTAGGCACATATCGTAAATCCGCCATCAGTTATACTGTTCATACGTTTAAGCATAGGATTATCTAATAAAGATCAGCTTTAATTTATATATAATAATAAACATCGCATAAGCATTGACATTTGGCACACAATAGAATTTGGACTAAAATCAGGGAACATTGCTACACAAGCGTTTCAATAATGAGCCAAGTAAATCATCAAAATGACACTACTTATACTTATAAATATGGTAAAATAAATACAAATAAAGCAAACGAAGAAATATATATATAAAATATTAGAATTCTGAACTTAGAAAGACCAGTTGTCTTTGTAACCTAGTCAGTTAGGAAACTGAGTAGATGTAGTATTACTTAAGTCGAAGGCCTGAGTTGCTAGAGCTTTTTGAAAATGTTTGATGATTTGTAACTAAATTCTAAACTTGTAACAATAACAAAAGTTATATAAAGTTTAGAAATTAGAGATTTTAAATTAAATATATAATTTAAATCTTAACGTTTTTATAATTCAGTGAAATATTCACATGGTCAAGGATCAACAAATTAGAAAATTAACTTTTGTTTAAACCCATCGCTGAGGGACAAAAAGGTGCCACTGGCGAAAAAATTATTACCCCCGAGCCCGACCCATAAAGTATCAAGTAACAACTCCTGCATACTAATTAAAAATTAAAAGACCAACCACAAGCACAACCATCTGTTGGCCTTTTGTCTAAGAATTGTCAACAGAGTTGCGGGCATTGCCATAAAATAGCAAACACTATTTTTCAATTAACTCGACGCTCTCACATTTTCATCAGTTACATTTCCGTTTAACTCAGCAAAGTTCAGTTCAGTTCAGTTCAATTCATTTAAGTTCAAATGAGTCGAGTTTCAGTTCATTTCAAATACTTCGAAGCATACTTTGTACGGGCTGCAAAAGTCGCACCTGTGAAAAACGTAGCAGCCGTCTCCTCACATATATGCCTGGGTATGCGTACAAATGGAGTATATATATGTACACATATTTGCTAAATCTACTTGGGAAAAAGGATTTGTATATATGTATATAGCAGCACTCAATTGCAAGTTGGTCGAGGCCGGGAGGTAGGGTGGTGCAACACTGAATGGCACGAACGTGTTGCATATGCATCTTCTTCAATGTGAAGTTATGAGGCAAAGTTTCTTTAGCACGCCAAAAACAACAACAAGCGAGTGCTCCAGAGCCCCACCGGTGGTGTCTCAATGCTGTTACGTGTGAATGATTTTCAGTGAGTTTGTGTGTGTGTGTGTGTATGTGTGTGCGTTTGGGAAGGGAAGTTTGAACTGTTCACACACAGCTCTCAGCCCTCTCCAATGCAATTTGGGGCAAATAAATAGTCAGAGCCCCGTTCGCAGCATCTTTTATTCGCTTCAGTTAAAGTTCGCTTGGTAGAAAATTGTTTTTAAAGTGTTCGAGTTGGGAATACGAAGGAACTTTTTGCTTTTTGTTTGTATTTTTGTGCGTTCATCCAGAAGCTGTACCTGAATGGCGCACATAAATTAAAGTTGTTTATTTTTTAACTTTTGAGAAACATTGAAAATATATTTAATTCAAAAACTGTAGTTCGAACTAGACAAAATCAGGGACTAAAGAATAACAGATATACCATGAAGTGTTATATTTCTTAATGAAGATATCGCAACAGAAACATGTTTTTTTAATGGATTATAACATTTTTCAAAACTTTTATTTTTAAGTCAAATAGTAAGAATTATTTTCGGAGTTATTTTGTTAAAAATTAAAAAAAAAAGAAGGTTTTTATTATTCTAAGATCGGCTGACACAAAACCTTTGTAACCGAAAACTACGATGACTTAAAAGTTTAATCACGTTTAACATTAAGCTTCGGATCCTTCACTCGAGTTAGGAGTTGGTTGACTTGGTTGTGTTGGTTGTGTTGGTTGTGTTGGTTGTGTTGGTTGTGTTGGTTGTGTTGGTTGTGTTGGTTGTGTTGGTTGTGTTGGTTGTGTTGGTTGTGTTGGTTGTGTTGGTTGTGTCGGTTGTGTTGGTTGTGTTGGTTGAGTTGGTTGAGTTGTGGGTTGGTTGTCTGCGTCTCCGTTGTGTCGGTTGAGTTGGTTGTATCGGTTGTGTTGGTTGTGTTGGTTGAGTTGGTTGAGTTGGCTGAGTCGGTTGAGTTGGTTGAGTTGGTTGTGTTGGTTGAGTTGGTTGAGTTGGTTGTGTCGGTTGTGTCGGTTGCGTTGGCTGAGTTGGTTGGGTTGGTTGTGTCGGTTGAGTTGGCTGAGTTGGTTGTGTCGGTTGTGTTGGTTGAGTTGGTTGGGTTAGTTGTCTGCGTCTCCGTTGAGTTGGTTGAGTTGGCTGAGTCGGTTGAGTCGGTTGAGTTGGTTGAGTTGGTTGTGTCGGTTGAGTTGGTTGAGTTGGCTGTGTCGGTTGAGTTGGTTGCGTCGGTTGAGTTGGTTGGGCTGGTTGTGTGGGACAAAGTGATCCTTTCGTGGTGGTTCTACTTAAACAATCTGATCGTGTAGTGGTGGAGGGGCATCCACATGGCGGTATCGAACGGCTGCTGCAGAGATCGGTGCAGCATATAAGGAAGTAACTAACTGAAAATGAAATAGTATATTGCTATGTTGGGTACAATACTTCGTTAATTTATTATATTGTTATACCAATAAAAAATACGGTAGCCAGTTTCATGACAAAAATCGTATCTGCTACACTGCTTGAAGAGTAGACAACAACTGTGGTTTAAAATGGCAAGTGTTGCTTTTTATAGGTATCCGCGATCACAATTGTTTAAATAATATTTCTAAATGTATGTAGTAAAATAATTATGTAAATATTTGCAATGCGTCCATTTTGAGCGATATTACCCCGCGGAAGATAAAAACAAATTGGAATTGTTTAGTACAAAGAAACAACTCGCCTATACTAAGTACCCAAGCCACTAATTGCGCAAAGTACCCGACTAAGAAACCCCCTTTACACAGTTCTTAATTGCCTTTACTGACTTTCAAGTTTCGTTGTACACAAAGGCACAACTGCTGACACTTACATAACTCACACACACACATACATAAGCACGTACGCCCTCTTCACTTAGTCTCACACTGAGGGAAAAACATTCCGGAATAACTTCGGTGTTTTTAATCCAATCTCTATGTACTGGATAAGAGGCTTAGTTTTCGGGCGCACATCGACGGCCTTCTTAAGCAGTGCCGCTATAAGATGGCCAAGGCCAACTGGCTACTAAACCCCAACAGCCCATTGCCACTTTGCTGCAAACGGGCAGTTTACAACATCGTGGTGGCACCAACTTGGAGATACGGTATTCAGGTTTGGGGCATTGCATCTCGGACAAATCGAAGACGGATTCAGACACTCCAAAACTTGGCCTTGCGCCGAATTACGGGTGCTGACTGGTACGTCAGAAATTCTACCTTGCACAGAGACCTCAAAATGGAGACCATAGACAGCCAAGTCGGAGCATTCGCCAACCGGTACAGCGAACGCTTGCAGCGACACTGCAGCCGGGTAGCAAGAGACCTCGCTGGGAGGTGTGTAGTCAGGAGGCTCAAGAGAAGATCGTTCAAGGACCTCCTCCAACCACGACATAGGAGACGCCCCAGAGTCCCCCGACTACCTACGTGACGATGCAGCCTTACTCAAAAAGCCGCCTTTGACGTTTGTCCACGATAAAGCCTGAGGACCCAAACAGGCTTGGCGTAATATCACCTAAGCCAACTATGTTGTAATAAAAATGTATGCTATTTTGGATTCAATACAATAAACAAACAAAAAAAAAAAAAATATTTTGTATTAGCCACTTTTCTACCAGCTGCCAGATTTATTTGATTTTCATGATACCCTTTCATTTACCCATATTCGATGGGTATCAAAATACATATACTACTTCTGCAGCATTAATATCCTCTGAGACAATTAAGAAATGGAATTCGATAACAAAATATAGTAAACACGGTCAGTATGAAAATATTTTCCACAAAATATTGTAAAAATATTCGCTGCTATATAAAGCTATTTAAGCTTGAAAGATTAATAATGATCCTGACAAAAGTTGGTTTCAGCTAATATCTGGTATTGGCCCAGGCACAGTAATTCTATCTGCTAAATAAACGAAGCAGTTAACCTAAAAGAATTTTAAAAAAATTATTTTCTATGCTTAGGCATAAATGACAGCTTAAAAATGGCAACGTTTCTATTTGTGAAGATAGCCAAAGGGGTCTTCTAAATCGAGATCAGGTTTGAGGCCAACGACTCAGTTGAGTACTATAGCTTTTGCAACGGTTGATGATTGTGGAATAAACGGGTGCTTAAAAGGCTACTCAATATGGACAGAATGACAGCCTGACAATATTAAGAATAAGCACTGTGAAGAACTTGGTTATGGGATACAACTTATTGATATGCAATGCAGTATTAATTTTTAATATTTTTGTGAAACAACATTAATCGTCGTTTGGTAAAATTTGTAATAGGATAGTAATAGGATTGAAAATAAATATTATCTAATGAAGTGCTCAAACTAATTAACTATTAATGCACATTTAAAAATATCTGAATACTGATCTGTGATGCATGCGCAGCTGATAACGAGGGGCTGTCATGGAAATTGTCATGCGGACATTGCATATCATGCCGATGACATCGTCAGCACATCCGACGGGTCAACTAGGCCAACTAAAACTGCGGGACTACCTAGCAGCTGTCATTTTTGCATGCCCAACCACTCAGGACAGCTCAAATGCCCTGCATTAAGCCATTAAAGCTAATTAAACTCTGCCAATGGCAGCCCTCTGGGCTCAGACTGCAGACTGCCATTCTATGGCATCCGGTTGCTGGCGTACGCTTTATTAAATACGCAGCCAGCGCGGTCGCTGCCATCAACGTAATGAGAGCAGCGCCGCCTCAGTCGGGCGGCAGGATGAGGTTGCGATTGATGTTGCAAGTGAAGTCCTTCGTAGCTGCCTCGCTGTTTGCACACAGTCCTCTACAGGCGGTGATTTTGCGCCACTTAAACTTTAAATGCAACCCGCAAGCTGCGGCATGCGGATGAGACTCGAAATGGCCAGATAACTCATACGCCGCGTATGCTACCAACAACGTTGCCATAGCGTGCACTTCGGTGATAAACTGCAGAAAGAGGGCAAAGAAAAGAAAAAAGCAGCCGAGTAAATGGAAATTGCAGAGCCCATTGGGTTCGATACAAGGGCAGAGTGCAAAGTGCAGCAGGCAAATGTCAGTTGGCAGACTGGTCAATGAGCGCGTTAAAGCCAGGTCAATTGCATCAGATTAAAGACTCTTCTATGCGTTTCTCAACAAAGGAACACTGCCGGCAAAGTGGCTCCGTGTAGCTTATAATTGAAAGTGGTAGCTAATAATTGATAAAGGCTTCTTTGTTTTGCACTAGAAGAAACGTCAAGAAATGTTTATCGGATGTAACCGACTACGCAATACTCTGTACCAAGCGAACGCGAAATTCGTTTATCAACAAAAAGCTCAAAGTCAATTATTTGAGTTATTTACCGCGTAAATATATATCCCGAATACCTCTTTTAACCCAAAGTTGAACAAAAACGTTTGATTTAAATATATAACTATATTTTTCCAGTAACTTTTTTTCTCTTAGTTTTTGGCTGTTAACCGAAAAGATTTTTACTGACCGACCCGATAATAGTAGCCAGCAACAGCCGCTTCCTTCACCGCCAAAAGGTCAACTGCCTTGGCCATTTTCCGACGAGTTTCCTCTTCTTTCTTCATTCCGCAGCGACGCCGCGTTGACGCAAACGGATTGTCGTTCTTCATCCCGCTGGAACAACGTGTACACGCACACGAATCTTCCTTCATCCCATTGGAACGACGTCGAGTCGACGTACAATTTTCTTGCCTGAATTCATTAACCTTCGCCTCATAGGCATCTGCTTTGCAACGGCTTCTATAATGTGCCTCTGCCAATCTTATGCTGGCCAGTAATCTGGGCGATACTTGAAACTTCCGTGAAGTAACATCGTCCTTGATAAAGTAATCGCAATCCATTTTCACAGTTTGATTATAAAACACTTAAAAATTTATTTGCTTGTTTTCTTAAGTATTGTATTCCGAAGAGTTCAGTTATAAAACTAACTAAAGTATTTGCGTACACGTTAAAATCATCTCGGTTTGAGTTAAGAGGCATATGTTTCTACTATGGCAGACTCAACACTGACATAGGAACAGGATATAGAAAATACCCAACAACCAATAAATATGCTTAGCCAATGTTTGGGCATCAACACCCAAGCACAGGCAAACATCAATAAATAGGTTAGGTCATATCGCAAATCGAATGCCATTTATCAACAACCACGCCCAACCCCTAGTGTAGTTTTGGCCCAAAGGCGGGCACACGACTATTTTAACAAGTTAATTTCACAATATTTGTGGCCTGCGAGCGCGAACAAATAAATTGCGTGGCAATTGCCAGGACATTGATGGGACGCTGACGACAAACAAATCAACAACAACCTACCGCAGGAAATATATGTACTTAGTACGTGTGTGTAGGTGTGTGTGCGTGTGTGTTTAGACACTGGAACGTGCACAACCACCAATCAATGCATGCAGCAACAAACGCACAACTCAAATTGAAAATTGATTACTGATTGTTGCAATGTCATCAACATCAACAACAACAACAATAACAATACTGTGCAAATTATTATTGCAAATACGATGTGTAGCAAACGGATTGAATACACGGCCAGTTAATCTGACACGGTTCGTTTCGCAAGATCAAGCTGCTAGCGGTTGCACGAGGTCAGTTACAAAAGAACAGAAATTAAATTGATAAACACCTATCCCCAATTATAGTCACATTATTATATTTCATATCATTTATAATTTGGTTATATCTAAAGTTAAAATGCAAATCCAAGAATTATTTCTTTTAAATAATTGAATAAAAGGAGTTGTATTAATTATTTAGTTAATGATTTAATTCACATATAACAATAAGCAAAAATGCCGCAGTTCTCAGAGATTTCAGATCGACCTTTATTTGTAGCCTGTTTTTTGTATTTTCTGTCATTCATATTTCTCCTATTGCCACTGTGTATGGAAGATAACACTTTAATAAAGATGCTCTCTTATATATTTCTAATCTAATGAATTTAGTGGTAGTTCCAATAAAAAAATCACATACGCTTGTATTTTTCGTTTCTGGCAGGCTGTGATAAATAAATATTACAGCAATTAAGCTTCTTAAATAGCAGCATAAAATGGCCAACACTTTTGGGATACCCCCAACACACAATATGTAACACATAATTCACTGGTTGGCACATGTACAATGCACACACGAATATGGGTGTGACTGTGACTGTGTGCGTGTGTCCAAAGCTTCATTTGCATTGTGTGTGTGAGGCCGTTACACACGTTAATGCAGTAGTAAATTTTATTTATACATTTGCACACTCGCGCAAGTATTGCACTGGCACACACTTGTGGGCGATGGTACACACAAAAACTAATTACATGCCACAATGATTACATTTTACAACACCATTGAGCTTATGCTGACCAACAACAACAACAATACATAGTAATGCTGCAGTTGAGACTCGCCGACCGGAAGACACTCCTTACTAAATTTTAAATGAATCTCATTCAAATTGAAAATAACTAAGTTTACTAATCTATGTTATTTGCCAATAAATTATTTTAAAAAAAATACAATAATTAAGTATGCAATTTAATAATTTATGTTTCAAAATAGAAACTACTTTAAATTTTTTGAAAATATATAAAATGAAAAAAAAGTGATACATTGTTATAATTTATTAGTGGATATTAACGTAAAAAAATAGAATCATAAATTTAAAAATTAATTTGTACACATGCTGCTGATCAGAGTGTATATTTTGATGGGACACAAAAATATTGAAATTTCTATAAGTGCATCCACCCCTAAAAAAAATTAATTCTTCTGCATGTTCCATTTTTATAAAAATAATTTCCCCTATTTTAAAATCGTTGTGTACAGGGTATTGTGATAGCATCAAGCAAGTGTTGGGCAGTAAAAAACGAAACTTCCTCTTTAAGGCAACGCGCCTCCCTTGGACCTTGTATATTCGTTATTCGTGAAAAGTGTTTGGCTTTGTGAAACATACCTGTACCTGTTGCCCTTTTTCCCCAATTAGCAGGGCACGTCTACAATAGTGATAGGATTAAAGAGACTTTGAGAATTGATATGTAAGACTTAATTGAAGGATATGCGAAAACAACAAAATGTTTTATTGAGATCCAGTATAGAGGATACGATACACCCTGCACCCAGCTGGGAAAAGCAATTTCTTTAATGTATTTTGGCCTTGTCTACCCTCAATTACTTCCATGATCCATTTTTGTCATTGCAAAATATTTGATTTGATAATAGTGGTATAAAATTCCAAGTGTTTGTTACAGTTGCTGCTATATTAAAATTGTATTCGACGTACCCAAAAAATGTAACCGTAAGCGTGCACTCTTAAAAAATGTACCATTTGACTAACGGAAAATTTTCGTTAAATAACAGCATGTAAATACAAGATTTACAACTTCAATATTATTTACAAGACACTTAAGTCCGTACAGCCACCATGTTGATAATTGGCTCAGTTATCCTCAGGCTAATTATCATTGTTCTATCAAATGTCGATAATTTTTGATTCACGCGGCATTTCAAGTAATCATCGATTGCACCGTATAATTTATTCAAACTATTCAATTGGAATAACCCAGCATCGACAGAAATGGAAAAATCGAAAATGACCATATGTAGCGTTAAGCTTCACTCAGAAAGTATATTTGTCCCAAGCCCCGGAAAAATCGCTATCACGGAACCGAAGAATGACGTTAGGTGGTTCTATATCTTTAAAAATCCGCCGTTGGAAATCCGCCCAACCTAAACGTGCTATCAGCTAACTATTGCAGTGTAAATTAAACGAACAAACAGCTGTAGCTTTAAAAACATCATCGCACATTTTATATTTTAGCAGCTTGGCTTCAATTTACATATTGAGATTTTTCTTGTACTTCCCTGTCCATAGTATGGCTTTGCCCCTTTTACTGATTCTCATAATCAAAATTATCCCTGAGACTTGGTAATTTATTATTTAGTTCTTTAATGGTCACATGATTTTCATTTAATCACTTTTGAAGTGACTCAGACCTCAAAGCTGACAGCTTATCTACCTCTTTTTTTAATGATAGGGAATTGTTTATTAGCTGATCAAAAGCTGATCATATAAAGATTAATTTGTTCATGTGTTCGATATTTTGACTTAAATCCTCGAAGGCAGCTGTTTAGAGGGCTCTATTTAGTCGGGCACATTCGAATGGATGACTTTTATATGTTTGGCATTGGGCTTATATATATCACGAATCAACTTATACGTGACCATCTCTTAACTTCCTCTAATCTCTAATAATCTCTGGATAAGATCAATTTTAAATCCTTATATATAATCGCAAATATAATTAATTTTTCAATATTGTTATAAAAAAGTTGACGGGTAAAATAAACCACGTAACGCCTTTAATATATATAAAAGTAATTAACGAAAGATTTAAATGCCATTTGCAAGCTTGGACGGTATTTATTTTCCCAGGGGCAGCCCAACTTGGCCAGATAATTAAAGTGATCCAACAACTACATGCAGAAAATCCTGTTCGGGAGAGTCAAGCCCACATATCATTCAACAATTGATGCAAATATTCGCCATGTGTAATGTACTTTACCCAACGGCAAGTATTATCGATGCAAGTGCGAGGCGAACAACTGAGCTGCGCTGGTTGCCACTTGACGTCCTCTTCTGATATTACATGCCCACATACAAATGTTAACAGCCACAATTTCATCAACATATCATAGCAGGGCATGGAAATAAAAGAAAATTCCGTACGATGATGAAATAAAAGAAAATTATTATTGGACAGCAAAATGCTGGAATGTTGAGAACTTCTGCAACACGCGCATCATGGCTTGTATTTTAATTATAGCCGCAGGCCAGGCTGCCTGCACAATTATGGTACAGATCGAGGAGCACAATTGATACACTAACAAAGGGCATGCTTATTCCTTAATGGAATCTACCAAACGTTGAAATAAAGGTGGCTTAATAATTATTTGCATATACGAAATTAATAGTTTGTATATTTGTATATGTAAGCCACCGAAACATACACATATATAGATAGATCAAGCTGTGCAGAAGTAGTCCGAGCCAATATTAACTGCTGACTGATAAGCCAATGTTCCTAGATGAAGCGACCAAAGCTGATTACCTTTAGATTTTTCAGATCCGAATATATGTATTTATGATTTTATCTATGCTTAACTGGTCTACGAGTTTACTCAACCAAACCTTTAAAGCTATATCAAAATGCATTTACTATTTAAACATTATTCGTTTTACGAAAATACTGAGATAACTCTGGGTATCTTGGCAAATATTCCGTCTTAAAACACAGTGTTATTTGAGAGAAGACCAAAGCGGCTTATATAAGAATACAATTTTAATTGAATTCCAATTCTACAATGTAGAAGATATTATTATAAGAATGCTCTTGAGTTACACATGCACATGTAAATTATCCATTTCACATATCATCTGTATTTTTCATCAGGTTTTTTGATTATGCAGGCGAAGGTGCCATATATGTCCAATTGCGATTACAAAGCCATGTACATTCGCATTTAAGTCGAAGAATACATGAAGGCCATGATTTTTATCGGACTATTATTGTTGCTTACCTTAACCAACTGTCAACATAACATATAATTAGCACTGGTCCGATTCAGGGCCTGTGTAAGAAGATCCCTTTAAGCCAATAAGCTACTAAGATATTGAAAGGACCTGTTCTAAAAAGCGGGTCTGATCATATTCCATACGATTACGGCTTTTAAAAGCATACTTTAAGATGTGACAGAAAAAAAAACTTTTAAATGCTTAAAACTAATCTATTGATCTTTTGAGAGCTTTTTATTTAAAATCGTAAAATCGGATGAAAGCAGAATTGGAATTGGAACGATGAATATGCATTTGTCAGGATATTAAAAGCTTCGTGGTTTTGCGGTTTTTCTTTTCATTATTGATATTTATTGAAAAGAGACCACACAAATGTCGTAATAATCTGTAGCAGTGCATCCTTTTTGGTTTTATTGCATTTCTGAGAGCGAGAAAGCGGACAATGGCACTTTTCAGCAATGTGCGAAAATTTTATTTGAAAATTAAAAATAAAATTCTGTGGCAGCAATTACAGGCCGCTCCGCCCCGTTCCGGACGTCGGACTCGGTTCGCTTGGCATCGAATGCATTTGCATTCGTAATGCTAGCTAGCATTGATGCCAGCTTTGCGATGCCAATTTCATTTCTGGCATCGATTGGGCATCTGGGTGGATGGGGGTTGATTGGGGCCGGTGTTTTACCATTGAAATATGGCAAAGACAAATTATTGGTTTTTCTTTGAGTGCGCTTAAAATGAGGCAAACAGTTTAATTAAAATGAAGTGGAGCAATACGTGTGAATGGCAATTCACAGATGAATTGATGAATGCGTTTCGTGTGGCAAATGGGAAAATATGGTATAGGTCGTATGAATATCGTACGTTTAATTGGCCATCTAACTTGCGGCGTAATTCAAATGAAATATATTCCGTAAATGTGAAAGGGGACTTACCCTAATGATGCGTTTTGAGATGTGGCAAGGTTCCGAGGTGTAAACAGAGACAGCTAATTTTACTCTTCACAGTTATTAAGTTTAAACAAAAACACGTATCCATACAATTTTATTCTCTGTATAACTATAACGAAAGTAAAACCTAGAATGAAATGTAATTGAAATATAACATTTTTTATTAAAGGTTTGAAATACAATAAAAAAAAACCAAATGTAGTTACAAGCACATGAATAAATGGTAGAAGGCTACAATATAAAAACAACAAATTGATAAACTAAAACAGGAACGATTTTGCTGTCTGCTTTTATTCGTAGATGAAATCTATTGACAATTTAAATATTGGGCCTTTAAAAACTGTTAACTTTTCAATCTCTAACTCATATAAATCTCGTTAAAAGCGAACAATCATCAAAAATGCATTGTTTATTTGCACATTCAATTAACGTAGCACTTCTGAGGGTAAACTGAAATCGCAATACTATATACTATCATTGACCGATTGATGTTAATATTGTTTCGTTGCCCAACCTCGAGAATCAATCAGTTTGCCCACTTCTGGCCCGCTGTTAATTTGTGTTCTCAATTTAAATGGCATTCATTGCATATGCAACATATTTATTATGCACATTTATCGCATTACACAAACATTGTGCGCTTAAAGCGATTTAACATGCCTATTTATGCAGTCGATTGTACATTAATGAGCAGACCGACCGCAAATTGTTAAATACTCGACATTCTATATAATATGCGACTCTTCCAGTACTGTTTTAATGTACACAAATTGCCAGTTTTCATTTCCGTTTCAATTGCCTGGACCATAGATCGCAACAAAGATTCAATTTTCAGAGTTAAACAGGAAAAATATTTTGATTGGAATCATGACAAAAAACAACACAAAAATTAAATAAAATTTGTTTGCTTGTTGTGGTTTGAAAACTATAAGTTTTATCGTTTTCCAAGTAGCGTTATAATTATTTTAGCTTCTTTTGACATCTTCTGTTTGCACAAGTTTGTGAATACTTAAATGAGTTCTAGCAATGGATACTGCATTTTTTTTACTAGTTGTAACTTTTAAATAGAAACAAATATTACAGCTTTATTAAGTTGTTGGAAATCACTTTAAGAGACATACACTGTGGCGAGAAAGACACTGTTTTTTTCGTAAATTTTACAAATTCTTCAGGTCGTTAATGGGTGCAAAACTATATTTTGTAAGCTTGAAGGATTTGCGCCGGGCAAGGTCGGGAAATATAAACTAGTTATAATAATAATAAGATTTTACAACAACAATTAGCAGTTAAAATAATAAGCCTTAATATGCGCTTATTTACGAATGTAAATCAAGATCACATTTTCTTTTGTAGCCTACTTTTTCGAGCATTTGTAGCTTTCGCTTATAAAGAAGCATAAGAAGGTCCACTCAAGAAGGACTCAAAGGTACCCTTTAGTCAGTTTTTAGAAACATGGTTTCTTTGATGATGTTGGCCCATTGAAATTCATTGAATTCTGACCTACTTAGTAGTTGAACTCTAGCCACGCCCACAATTAGTACGAGGTATGTTCTTAGCGACTCGCGACATCAGCATTCTTGTGTTTAATATGATTACTTTTCATTAACAAAGTTTTTGTAATACTAAAAGTCTAGTTTGAGTGTGGACCCTACATTCACTTCAGCGTGCCAGGACCCGAACAATGGACGTTGCCAACATTGACAACAAATTGTTGAGCTGCTTGTATATGCGGTGTTGGGCTCCACTTGCTTGTTGCAGCAGAAAAGGGGAAAAATTAATAAAATGTACAATATTTAAGCCCTGCATCATAAATGTCTGTGTTTGTGTGTGTGTGTGTTTGTGTAGTTGCCGTCGATTCTATTTCATTTTCGCTTACACGCAGCATGAGGCTGTCTGCGCTGTTGGCGATAACGTGGTATATACGTAATGTGTGTAATAGGAACACATTCTCACTCACACACACACACGCACATACACACGATAACATGTATGAGCATGTGCTTAGATTGCAGCCCTGGCTTGCCAGTTTCGTCCATTGGCTGCGCTCCAGATTACAGGGCCTGTGTGCAATTGATGTTACCATGGGGAATTTGTATTAATTAGTCTGGGATCGTGTGCACTAACCGCGTGTAACTTGGCCAAATTGAAAAGGCTTTAGTTTCGCAACGCTGTGAACTAGGCTAAGTTAAGAGCCTAAATTGGGACGTGATAAATTAATTGAGCAAACGGTCGTGAGAACATCTGGGACCAGTTTTTAATATATTCTTTAAGTGCAAGGATCTATATCACAAGTAAAACATAGACATTTTTATTTTATATATTAAACCTTGTTGTTGCTCGATTATTGAAAATATAAAGCACGCGTCACACACTTATGCTATGTTATACGCTGACATATGTTAAATAAAACCTGTGACTATGCAAATGTATGAAAAATGTATATAAACGTTTTTATATTACTTTAAGTGTGAAAAGTTTAAGCGAAAATTGAAGTTCAGAAAATATATTTTAAAGAAATGAATATGATTTTGCGAAAATTGGTGGAAAACCCGGCTACAGGCTACAAATGTGAAGCTAATATTCAACGCTTGCAGAAATAAAATGAAAACAAATTGATTCATTTATTTCATTTTATATATTTTTATTTAAAACATTCTTATAAAGCATAATTTTCAACCGTTGCCCAAACAGCAAAACCTTTTTGTAAACACTCGTGTATAATGGAATTGAAGATGACAGCCCTCAAATTGATGTGTGCTTCACTACGGAAATGTACATTTATCTCGCTTTGAGAGCAACTCACAGAACCTAAAGGGCATCCCAGTGTCAGACAGACCGTTCCCGGCAATCCTTCGCTATTACGCCTGTCTTTCTCTTTTTTCCTTTCATATGACAAGCCATTCACTCAGCTGTCGTTGCCATAAGTGACCAATGTCCAGTCCCCGAAGGGGGCTGCGAGCTGGGGAGTCCACATGACCCAAAGACATTGCTCTTATGTCTTGCTGAAGACACGCACTGGATGAGACGAAGTAATGAAATGTTGGCTCTGCTGCCGAGATAGTTTGTATTTATGGAGCACGTCTGGAGCAAGTGCTTCGAAAACTGTCCCCAGTTGTTGCGTTTCACAATTGTTTCTGATTTGGCGCAGGATGCTAATAACAATTTCCCCCCGGCAAATTGTGCCAGCGAGTGTGCTTAAAAACCCATTGAGCACAAGGATTTCGGATGTCTCTGTCTCTGTCTCAGTCTCTCTGTCATTTGCTATTTTAGCACTTTGAACCCAGTCCACACAACCTTCTTAGTGGGCTAACAACTGTTACCTCCGGTTCGGGTTGTACTTTTGGCATAACTACAGAAACGTTTCCTCAATAATTTTTCCGCCGGCTGTTTAACAAACTTTACCGGCGCCGTCTTCGACCTATGCAACGTCTTCCTCCTTGTACTTTTCACAGTCCACAGAGCCTGAAGGCAGAGAAAACAAGCGCAGTATACAGAGAGCTGCAGCATCAGGAGTCAACTGTGAAGCGGGCTGCGTTTTATTTCATTTCCGGCGGTTTTGCAAGTTTTGCATATATTGATATCTGCAGCGATTTTTATTCTGCGGCTGCCTATTTCATATAGGAAATGAAATTGCCAAGTGCAACTTATTTGATTTGTGTTTGAAAAGATGTTCTAGTGATAGTTGCGAGTCGGGTTTATAAAGTATTTTATATATTTTATGGCGTATTTCTATACGTGAATACCATTTTCAATGAGTACGGGGTATAGTTTGCGACATTTAAAAAGAAATAATTGCAATTTCTCTATATAACATGCCCGAAATCAAGAGCAAATAGTAAACATTTGTTTTGTATTTACCTTATTTATGTTTAATTGAAAAATAAATTAAGAAGAATGCAAAATAAATACTAGCCGAAAACAAACCTCTTTTCCTAGCGTTCATTAAAAAAGTTTTTAGGCCAAAAGCAACACGTACGAAGGAAAACTTTGCAATTGTCAAAAACTGCAACAAGGAACTCAACCGCAAAAAAGACAGCACTGGAAAAGTTTCCAAGAGTCAACTGCTCGGCAACTGCCGCTGCACATTCTTAATAAAAAGCAACAGAGTCCCTTTTGCCCCTACCCCTCCTCAGCATTGCCGTCGAAAAGTAGATGCTTCAAAAAGTTTGACATCTGATGCCAGAAAATGGCAGACACAGAGAGCTCTGCAAATTAAAACAATGTCAGCGACTTTGATGCAACAATTTGCAGTGTTGCGCGTTGATTAGAGTTTCCAGTGGGCCGTGCATAAAGCGAGTTGGCAGCACGCCTAAGCGGCAGCCATATTAATTTTTCATTTCTCAGCTCTCTGTCGTTGCTATCCAGCAACAATTTTCGGCTTGCCTTTCCTTTCTCTACCCTGTGTGCATTGACAACGGATTAAAAGGGGTATTATAATTTTATGCAAATGTATGTAACAAATCCCCATGTCCACCTCCCTACAAAAGCAAAAGACTTCAGACGCAATTCGCTCGATATCTCAGATATATCAGCATCATCCAGAGCTACAGGCGTCACATTTGGTATATATTCTCTTACATTATATGCAGGTTGAAGATTGATTGAGAAACATATTATTAGTATAGCTATTCAATTATATAGCTCGGCACTTGGTAAAGGGTATTCCCTATTCCACATACCATTTCAAAAAAAAAAAAAATACACGTCATTCCAAAAACAATAAGAGGTATTACTACAGTTTTTGAATGAAAGTTCTTATATACGCAGATGACCTATATTTTAGATTGTCGATAACTCCCCTAGTTTTGATTTTTAGCTTAGGCTTTCCAGCATAACTCTGAGATTATATATAGCTACGGGCACAACATTTTATGCTCAGGATTTCGTGTTTTATATTCATTTCAATGATTTCGAAAGCTCTTTCAGTAACGTTACCAACTAAATGTTTTTGTGGTTCTGTTAAGAACAATGTTCCAATGTTGCTAACGGTGCTGTTTGAAACTATGTACAGGGTATCTACCACTCGAGCACTCTGAGTAGATACACGCGTTGATTCGTTCTTTTGGTTTTGTTTGCTGCATTTTGTATTTTATATTTTGCTTTTATTGCTTGCGCTTTCGTAAATCT